GAGAGAGGGAACACAAGCAGGGGGAGTGGGAGAGGGAGAAGCAGGCTTCCCGCAGAGCAGGGAGCCCGAGGCGGGGCTTGATCCCGGGATTCCAGGATCACGACCTGAGCCGAAGGCAGACGCTTAACTGACTGAGCCACCCAGGCGCCCCTACAGACAACTCTTTTAATGAGCTCTGCAGTAAAGGGGAGTAGAGCAGCAGGGCAAAGCTGCAGGGGAATATGGATGGGAGAAATTAGAGCGTATCTGGACTTTGATGGGAATGAAGGGAAAATGTACAGTCAATTTTCAATTGCACAAGAAAATATAAATAGTGTGACCCATTTGATGAGTTTACTTAAATTTTACGTAATAGCTGAAACATATAAGAAAGAACATATAAATTCAGAAGCACAATGAATACCCAAAAAACCACCAACCACACCAAGAGCTGGACCACCACCAATCATTTCTATTTATGTGCTCCTCACTCTCCCACCCTCTGCCTCTCAGAAGAAAGCAACTTCCCTGAATTCTGTGGTTATCATTTCCTGTGAAGTCATATTCTCTTCATTATATTCTGTTGTATTTGTTACTGATAGATCAAGGAAGACCTTACTTCTGTCCTTCAACCTACCTTCTGCAGACGGACATCAGACCACTTTGGTCAGTATCACAAAATTCCTCTCTTACATTTAACCTGCCACACTAAAAGTCCATTTTTCATCTTCCATCTCCAGCTGGCCACTGCTTTACCAGAAACACCCCTTCTTTGACATCAAGATCATTATTATTCATTCCTCTCTGTATAACGTCCTCCACATGAAAGCAGGAATAGACAAGCACACCTTCTTTCCTCCTAAGCACACAGAACAGACCCCATTGGGGTCTTTTTCTCCTGGGACACACACCTGCAACACTCAAACCTGGAAGATGCACCTGTAGCACTCAAACTCCAGCCTCCCCCTCTAGTCCTAAGGCAGGTGCCAATGTCTGGTGGCCCCTCCACAGGGGGCTCAGGAAGGCAGGTGACGGCCAGTGGTTAGGTTCCTTTTATCCCCAAATCACCTATGGGCAAGTGGCCACCCCCAGATCATCCAGGACTGTCCAGGAATACAACAAGGACCTGCAAAACTTTGACAAATGCCAACAGACTGAGCCCTTTACAAATGGATGACAGCAGGTTCTGAAAAGCCTTCTGCATACATAAACCAAACACCCAGCCCCCGTGCTTACTCACTGATGCTTGAAATTGCTTTAAGGAGAGAACGGCTTTCATCTCACAACTAGAGAAATCTTTGAAGCCCTGGACGAACTAACTCAGTGATTTAGACTAGCAACACGCTAGTGTGTAAAAGGCCCTTGATGATGCAAGGGCCACTTTTAAAAATGAGTGTTAAGTAAAAAAAAAAAAAAAAAAAAAGAGTGTTAAGTGACAAGAGGTGTAGCAGAGAAAGATGGGGCTTTTCTTGTCTGCTTGGTGAATATCCTCCTTCTTTCCCTGTTGCCTCAGGCATCTCGAGCTCTGTGCATATCCACGCTAACTCTGTCCCTCTGTCTTAGCATTATAGAGATTAAGGGTGAGGAATCTGGAACCACGCAACATAGGTTCAAATCCTAACTCTATCACTTGCTGTGATCTTGGGCAAGTTACTTGACCGCTCTGTGCCGTTTCCTCACCTGTAAAAACGGAGATGATAATAGTACTTGCCTCATGGGGAGATTGTAAAGATTAATATGTGTCATGCACTTAGGGATCATTTTGGCGCACACACACAAAAGCACTGCAAGTGCTTGCTACTATTATTCGCAAAGGCTCCTCCTCACCTGCCCACTTTCCACAAGCCAAAAGATCATTTTAAGCTCCTCCACTTCTGCTCTCTAATATACAAAGCCCACTGTAAATTGCCACTTTGCCAAAGCCCATTGAAATCCCCCAGGTTTCCTAACGCCCCCAGCGCTAACCTTAAACAGCCAGGCCATCCGGTCCTCCCACCACAAGCAAAGCCCCCGCAGTTCTCCACTCGCCCAACCCTGCGGATCCGAACTTCCGCAACCCAGACTCCGCCGAAGGCCTAGAGGGCTGGGGTGGGACGGGGCGCGACGGGGCGGGGCGCGGCGGGGCGGTGGCTCTGTGACGTCGCGCCCGGGCCCCGCCGCCGCGGTTGCCAGGCGACGGCCAAGCGCTAACAAAGCCTGGTTGGTCCCGCCCCACCTCCCCAGTCCCTCGAGGCCGAAGCCGGTACCGTCTTTCCCCGCCCAGGTTCTGCGGCTTTCTCCTCCGCCAAGGGTGCGTGGGACTGGATCTGTCCCCACGCCTCCCGCCTGAGGCCAGACGCGAGGTGTCGCCTCGGATCAGACAGCCCGTTTGGGAGCGAGCCTCAGGTAGCAACCCTAGAGGGGAAGTGGATGGAGGGAGGTGCCCTGAGCGCCTCTAGGGCTGCGCGGGGCTGAGGGGAAGAGTCCTGCCCATGGGCCCATCTGGATTCTGAATCCTTCCTTGTTCACAGAGCAAGAGGAGAGGGCTGTGATCTTTAAGAGAATGTGATCATGGGTGATTATTGCTCTCTGCCCAAACTGTATGTATGTTTTGTTCCCAGAGCTACTATTTTATGATTTCTTACACAGAGGACAGTGATTTGAAACCATAACAGAATCTGGGATCAGAGCCCTCTCCAGACTAGCCAAATCACTTTTTTCCCCCCATATCTATGGGGGGATTGTCATGAAGATTAATGGGTGTGAGTAACACTTTAAAACTGCTATCAATCTTTCATTTCCCTAATATCTATTGATCACTGACTGTGTTCCAGGCTAGGCATTACGGATTCCATAGTGAGCAGAAACTGACTGTCCCTACCCTCATGTTTAGTCTATTGGGGGTGGCAGATGTTAATCGAAGAACTACACAAATACTATGAAATTAGAGCAGAGCTACATGCTGCCAAGGAGAGGTACGTAAGTGGTGCTCTGGGAAAGTGTAATGGAACTGACAGGTCAGGGAAAGCTGAGCTGAGATCTAAGAACATGTGAAAAAGTGGGGGGTTCATTCCAAGCAAGAGTAACCATGTGTCTAAAACCCACCATCTCCTATTCCAAGCCCAAACAAGTATATTCAATTCCCTGGTCCTTGGTTCCCAGAGCTGTTCATAGAAATTGCCTCTGAGATTCTGGTGTTGGAGCCTTTAATTCATGTAACTGCAGCCTTTCGTTATTATAACTGAAGCTCTGTCTAGCCTACACCAATAAAACCAAAAAAGCAATTCCAGAAACGAATCTATATCACGTACTTGATAAGACCTATATTCTTCAGCATCCAACACATATGCGTTGACCTGCCATTCCACATTGGGAGGCATGTAGGCTTCACAAAAAAAAAGGAAATCTATTGAATTTTAAAGAGTTGTGGGGGCCTGGAACAAATAAATGGGGAAGGCCTACCCTACTGAGAGCTTTAAGAGTAGAAAAGCACTTTATAAAACATTAGAATCATGGACTATTAAGATAAAATGGACCTCTCTTCACTTCTTTTCTCTGATGTGAACAAATGATCTATATTGCTCAAAGGCAGAAAAGCTGGGCTCTGGTGCCTCTTCAACCTAACGAGTCTATGATTCTAAGTCTGTGGCTCAAAAGTACATGGAACTCCTGAGAGTAAAAGGGAACATGGGAGGAGAATCTGACCTGCCCCTCCTTCAGTGTTTTCCATTTACCACAGTGCCACCATCGACCCAGTCATCCAAGCTTGAACAGTGGGGAGTCACCCTACACTCCTTCTCCCACAGTGGTGACCAAGTCCTATAGCTCCTGCCTCTCTTATCCCTCCCCATTGCAACTCCTAAAAGGCAATGATGCTCTCAAGAGTTGTTGCCAAAAGTCCCGCCATATTCTTTTAACCAGGCTCCCTGCCTGAAGCTTCACTCCACTCCCCTCAGCCCATCTATACAGCTGTTGATGGATCAGTGTGTGTTTCAGGGTCCAAGAGAGAGAAATCAGATACAAGCTTAACAAAGAAAGTTCAACATAAAGAATTTTTAACTACAATGGGATTGGAGTAATGGAAGATTAGCTAGTAAGATGTAAAGAGAGATCTAAAGTATACAGGAATCGGGCGCCTGGGTGGCTCAGTCGTTGAGCGTCTGCCTTCGGCTCAGGTCATGATCCCAGGGTCCTGGGATCGAGTCCCACATCCGGCTCCCTCCTCGGGGAGAAGCCTGCTTCTCCCTCTCGCACTCCCGCTGCTTGTGTTCCTGCTCTCGCTATCTCTGTCTCTGTCAAATAAATAAATAAAATCTTTAAAAAAAAAATCTACAAAATAAAGTATACAGGAATCACTCATATAAGGAGCAACCACTACCCTGGAGACAGATCACCCAAGAAGGAGCTGACTTCCCAAGAGCTTGTCAAAGAGGGCGTGGCCAGAGTTCGTGAGGTGTCAGGCAGGCAAAAATCCACAGTCTAGAATGCCAAGGAAGCCATTTATGAAAAGAATATGACCATGGGTGATTATTGCTCTCTGCCCAAACTTAGTGGCAGCACTCTGCTCCACAGCTTCCCCAGAGAGGGGCCGGGGAAGCTGGTGGCCCCTGGGTACCGCTGGCTGCCATGTACAACAGCAGTAAGACATGCAAGAGCTCACACACTGCAGGAACCAGAGGCTGGAGGAGCTGTGCACTACAGGACTGCTGCACTGCAGAAACCACAAATGCTCCTGATGCCCAAAAAGTGGAGCATGTGGATCCCACAAGAGAAACCCTTTCCTCCTCCAGTATCCCTACCGACAGAGTTTGACGTGCCAACTGACAAAGGAGAAATATTTAAAGGACCTAATTCCATTTTTGCTGCAGAGGCAACGCAGGGTATATTTGGAGCTGAGAGGCGGCAAATTGATAACTGGCATATCAAGCTAACATCAAGTCTGATTTGTGACTCTTGTGCTTAAATCCTCAGTGACTCCCTATTGCCTTCAAGATAAAGTTCTCGGGCGCCTGGGTGGCTCAGTTGGTTAAGCGACTGCCTTCGGCTCAGGTCATGATCCTGGAGTCCCGGGATCGAGTCCCACATCGGGATCCCTGCTCAGCAGGGAGTCTGCTTCTCCCTCTGACCCTCCCCCCTCTCATTCTCTCTCTATCTCATTCTCTCTCTCAAATAAATAAATAAATAAATAAAAGATAAAGTTCTCAAGCCTTAGCACAGCATCCCAGGCCTTCAATATTCTGGACTTGGGCTATAGTCCCAGGCCGAGGCACAACTACTCCAGCTCCGCCCACCCTAACCCTCCATAATTACTCACAGTTCCCTGAATTCGCCACATTCTCTGATGCCTCCACACTTTCGTCTAAGGAGTCGTGGCCACAAAAAAATTCCCTCCTTGTTCTCATCAGTAAACAGATGCTTAATGAGTGCCTGCTCTATACCTGGCACTATTCTGGGGCCTGAGAATACAGCAATGAACAAACCAGGCTTCCCCAAGTCTCTATTCAAATATCATCACTCTTCGGGAAGTATTTTCTGATGACTTTCTCCTACCTGCCAGTGTTAGATGTCTTATCTGGGAGATTCTGTTTTCCTCTATCTATGCAGACTTTTTAACACTTATCCTATTTTATTTTATTTTTTTAAAGGTTTTTATTTATTTATTTGAGAGAGAGAGAGAGAGAGCACGAGATGGGGGAGGGTCAGAAGGAGAAGCAGACTCCCCGCTGAGCGGGGAGCCCGATGTGGGACTCGATCCTGGGACTCCAGGATCATGACCTGAACTAAAGGCAGTCACTTAACCAACTGAGCCACCCAGGTGCCCAACACTTATCCTATTTTAATCGCTTGTTTTTCTATCAGTCTCTTCTTCTAGCCTAGGAGCTCTCTGAGGGCAGGGTGTATGACTCATTCATTTCCGTATCCCACTATTCAGCACTAGTCCTGATACATAAGGTTTTATTGGAGTAATTACTTGCTCAGGATCACATAATTAGTCAAAGATAGGCCTAGGGCCAGAATCCTGGTCTCCTATCTAATAGCCAAGAGTGCTTCTTCACTAGTATGGCTGTTATAGCTCATCTAGCTATGAAGGACAGTTTGTTGGAAGAGACAAGTGTAATGTTGAACATCATCAGAAATGGTAAAAGAAACAGGAAAAAAACATAGCCCTCTCCTTTTTTTTTTTAAGATTTTATTTATTTATTTGAGATAGAGTGAGAGAGAGAGCACAAATAGAGGGAGCAGCAGAGGGAGAGGGAGAAGCAAGCCCTCCACCGAGCAGGGAGCCTGACTCAGGGCTCGATCCCAGGACCCCAGGATCATGACCTGAGCCAAAGGCAGACACTTAACAGACTGAGCCACGCAGCTGCCCTGATAGCTCTCTCTTATATTGAAAACTAGGGTGCGTTCCCTCCAAGCCCTCACATATTGGAGTTTCTGAATCATAGGAATGCTATAATGAAATCAGAAGTAGGGAGGCCAAGTAAAAGGAGGAAAATGATGTGGGAGTATTCTGACATTTCACTCTGAAGAAATGAAGGCTAATCAACTAATGAAAGATTGTGTTAAGGTGGCCCCAGGTTTGTACACCAGATCCCCAAATTGGGGGACGTATTGCACAACTTTAGAGAGCACAGTTTATATGGCAGTCTGTAAATGGTGTCACTGGGCTTGTGGACCATGATATGAACATGGGGAATTTAAAATATGAGCATGGATAAGTTAAGATAAATCAAAAGGGATACCTGTTCACTTGTGAAATGATAAGTATGTGGAACTCATAACTTCCAAGAAGTGGTATTAGCATGATATATAAGCAATTTTGATAAATTTGCTGATAACAAAGCCAAAAACTCCTGCTCAAAAAAAAGGATAAGGTCAGGTAGGACAGCTCTTAGCAATATTGCTGTTGGCATCCGCTGCTAGGTTGGCTTGACCGTGGATTAAGCCCCGGATAGAAAATGATCCAGATTTCTGTGAAATAAAGTTGGAGAGGCAAAGCTGATATGAATAAGATGAATTGTGGAGAACTTGGAAGTCAGGCAGTACATCATTTTGATGAGAAAAGAAATGAAGATCCACTAAAAATTTTTGAGAGTGATGTGATAATGTGAGTGCTAAGACATGTTACCTGGGAAAACTAAGCCTCAATTTCCTGGCATTGGGAAAATGATTATAATATTAGAACCTTCCCACCCATAGGGTGTTGTGAAGATTAAATGAGATAATGAATGAGCAATAACTGCTTGTAGGCATTTCTTATGCTGGCCATCCTTCCATTCTCTGCAACTGTATGGAATATAGTTAGACAATTACCATATTTCCAGGACAAAAAATTAGGACATACTCTGACAAATAATTTTTGTTCCACTTCAACGTGCTAAAAATGTACTTTTCATGATGCAAAT